ATATATATATTGTGATGTCCATGGATCTTTGCAATGGGAATCAGATCATGATGAGATCACAATAATGAGACTGATTCTTCTTTAAACACAGACTCTAAAGAATTTCGATCATAAGCTACTCGAGAGGAACATCGAGATAACCAGACAAACTGGTGTATTGTATATATCCATCTATATGATGGAAGTGACTGGTTTCATTGTTGCTCGTGTGAAGACACTGGGGATACAGTACAAGTGCTTATTGGAGAATAAGTTCACTGATTGATCTACTCACAAAATATTAGATGGTCGATAATACCTTATTGTTAGACAGCGATTTCGTCGCCCCAATGGTGTATCTGATCCTTAGACTTGAGACACCAAGAATATTCTGTATGAGTACTCCACTTTTTGATACCTGACTTATAGGTTTGGAAGTTTCAGATCTAGTACAACCGACTATTAGGAGTAGCAGCCAACCTTACGAGGGTTATTGAGTATCGATAAATGATCATTCGCTCTCGGTGTCATGAGAGAAATATTTTATTTATTCTTGTTCAAACAAATCCCTAATCAGGGTTATTCGAATTAAGAGAGAAAGAATTCTCCGGAGAATTTAACTAGAACAAGACTTGAGTGAAAATCGTATGAGTCTGATAGCACTATGCCCGGTATATGATCTCTGAGATATTAGATGGATGAGGGACTATAGGTACACGACAACTGAGGACAAATAGATCCAAAGAATTAGATTCCCTTATATCGTTTGAGAATTACAATGTAGTGACCTAATACGTCTATAGTCAATGAGTCGAGTGAATTATTATAAAGATAATAATTCATTAAGTTAAAACAAATTCTAATAGGTATGACTCATGGCTAGCTCAATATTGGGCAGGATCACACACATATGATCGATATTGCGATGAATAAAGGTTCAAATATAAGATATCTACTAGAGCCTCTATATTATTAAATATCCAATAAGCCTCTGAATTAGTAGATCCTATGGATGAGATCCACTAAAAACTAATAAGAGATTATTCGATAGAGATCCACTAATCCAATAGGCTTAGGTAGTTAGATGAAGATCTTTATATCTAATAGGGCAAGATCTATTAGGGTTAAGTTAATAGAGTGCCTCTATAATAGGAAGAGACTTGACGCATAGTAAGGATAATCTTTTCCTTCATCTGAAGCATCCGTAGGAACCAATAGGGATCAACACAACTCAACCAACCCCACACGAGAATCAAAGTTATTGACGAGTTAAAACAGTATGATAGATCAAAAGTTTGACTACTCAACAACAGCAGCAGATAGCAGTTGAAAACCAAGAGGCACATTGCAACTAAATTAGAAGATTGAAGACTCAACAAAGACGAGAAGTTGCAGTGTCAGCAAAAGCTTTGACGAGGACGTCGAAGGAATAAGTGAGGGAGAATATCATAGACAAAATTGTAAATGAGACGTTCGACGTAATGCTTATGTATATTCGTATCTTTTGATTTGTTCATACTTTGCATAACATGTAAAGAGCTGGTAGTAAGCTTAACAACCCTATTTTCTTTCGATCTGTAGTGAACCATTTTGGGCCTTTTGTTGTGCAACCGTTCAAAGCTTATAAAGTTTGTTTGTAATTTGCATTGGTTATGATATATTTTCTGAAATGATTGCTTATGGATCCTGAGTGATGCTCTTTTTCTAACACGTTTTCTCTTTTGTGGGTCATAAGGGATCATAGGAGATTTCGGGGAGACTGACCTTTACGGACAGACACACAAGATTGCCATATGACTTAGCAAAATCAACTAAGTCTATGACAAGATGTCATTGTGCATCTTCCGCATTCAATACCTCTTCTACGAGTCATTCAAATCAACACACTTTTAACACCCTTGTATACCACCAACATTTGATGCCTCATACATGACATGGCCTCGACACCCTCACACATCTCTTACATCAACAACGATACCCTTATGTGTCAACACCCTCCCACGTCTCTATCCAACACCCCTACATAAGTGATTCAAGTTAACACATCCTAACATCTTGTATGTTTCCTAATGATCTAAGTCGACAATCTTTGATGCTCTCATATAGCACTATTCCATGATCCCTCGATAATCTTTGATGCTCTCATATAGCACTATTCCATGCTCCCTCATCGAGTGCATCTGCAACTTCAAATGCATCTCAAGGCACTTAAAAGACTAATCGTCGAGATCCTAAACCATACATTACACTTTGATTCAAACATGTCTTTTCAAAATATAATTGGGAGCGGAGTTAATTGGAACTTGGCTTCGAAATATGATCAACCAAACCTAACAAATCAACATGAGCCAAAAAAAAAAAAAAATTCAAAAATATTTTTATTCTAAAAATATTCTCCTCCAAAACACCTCTTTTGATTCTCGTGTAATATCTTAAATTAATTTGAGTGTTGGAGTAACCATACCGAATTCACTCTCGACACTAGTTTTACAAGTGACCCTTCGATTTACAAGACCCATCTTAAGAAAAATCACCGTGAAAGAATATCCACCTCCTTAAAGATCTGATTCTCAAAATGCAATGATCTACCAGAAATGGACTGACCTCAACCTTAAGGCTTGGATCAATTTTGACAGTAAGGACAATCTAAATGGTCTTATTCTAGTATAAAATAATTCAATTCCATTACTAAGAGATGAAAGCATATGAAAATATATCCAATGCAGTACGCTCTTTCTTCAAGATAATCTAAAAGTGAAAACAAAATCCTATACACCATATTTGCACTACACACAATATTTGATTTTGTCATGGAACCATGCTGCCCATGTCATCACATGTTATTGTCTAGGCCATGTGCATGAGATGATTGGTCAAGAGAAAATGTCCCTTTTCCTAGTATGAGAATCAAACATTTCGCGAAATGATTGCAGATAGAGACTTTTCAAGTGACCATTACAAAAAGGAAGTAGAAGCAACTTTTCAAGTGACCATTACAAAATGGCCTTGAGAAGAGTTCTGCATCAAACCTGAGGTTTGGGGGAGTGATCCACTAGAAGAGAACATTTCCAACTATCAGATTTCCAGATGCTTTTCTTTCCACCTGCAATCAAAACCAGCAATCCAGCAAAATCCATCAATCTCCATCATATTGCAACAAGAAAAGATAAAGTCTACCAGTATTCAATTAAGCTTTAGCCAAAACTAAAACATCTGTGAGAGGGCAACAGTGCCTGTTCTTGGCCCACAAAAATAACAGACCTTGAATGCTGAAACATCACACCTCTTGACTCACAGAAACAATCCCTGAAAGCATATATATCACATACTCCATAAGGTATCGATATTCCAAGACAATCATTATCTTCAACATTGCAGATCTTTTGCCCTTTTCCTTATGAGAAAATAATACATGAGAGTATATTCAAATAACATCAGTCATGCATCTAAAATCAACCTTCACATGCCAACCATCGACTGGAATTAAACCTGATACAATCTCAAAATGTATCAATAAACAACTTATCAATACAAACCTTATATAAAGTACACAGCAAAAAAAAAAAGGACCAAATAGCATAATAATAAGAGAAAATAGTTGAACCATCATTCAACCTCTGCATCCTCATTTTGAGTTTGGCTTTCAGATAAACCTCACACATAATCTTTAAAGCCTAGCAATTTAAAACAGAAGTAATAAGATCCAATGCAAAAATGAAACTCATAAACATCGAAAAGGAAACAATTTTTAGATTCAGATAGTCACAGTTTTCTTATGATTTTGTAGTTTCTACCATTAAAAAACTAATATGTACATATAACAAGAAACATTTCGACCCTCCCTTCTCTTCTTTCCTCCTCTATCCCCCCTCATCTCTTGCTCCCATAAGGGAAACTTCCACCCTTTCCTCGCCTCTCCTCTCCTCTCTTCTACCTTTATCTCTCACTGCACAAGCTAATTTCCAGCCTTCCGTTTAACTCAGCACGCATCCCTACCCACTTCACTCTCTGAAGCCTCCTCGTGTGTGCTCCCGTTCATGTTCCTGGTGTCCCTATTGTTATTGTGTTCCTCTCCCTGGTGGCATCGAGTCTCGAGCAACTGCAGCCTCCTCCTAAGGTCTCCCATCTCCCTCTCCATCAGGAAAAGCCTCTCCTTAAGCGTAAAGTTCTCCTCCTCCAGCCTCGCTATGTGCGCGTCCTGGTTATCCATCCTATTTTCCAGCACATAGGCGGTGACGCCCGACCCATGTTCCGCCCAGGGGTACACCATCTCAAATCGGCTCACATCATGGTCCAACCGCCTCTCTAGTTCCAAGTGCTGATCCAGGTACTGGTCAACATCACTCTCGCTCGACAACTCGGCGACCTCGTCCTCCTCCTCCTCTCCGCCTCCTGCCCTGATCTCGAAGCCATTGGACGACCGTAGCCGGATCAGGCCCTTCATCGAGCCATACCCATCCAAGCCCCACTCCTCCTTGGCCATATCGACGAGGCCTTCACGGGTTGGCGAGAACTTCGGCGTCGGGAGGATCGCCGGCGTCACGGGGCACGGCGACACCAGCGACGCGATCCCGCCAGCCTTCTTGGCGCGCATGATGAACGAGGTCGTATTCCGAGGGGCGAAGGGGGCGAAGCGCACGAACTTCTTCTTGGGGTAGAACCGCCGGGCCTTGGCGCGGTTCTGGAACTGGTGCTCGCCAAGGCCGAGAGGGTTGTATCCGGAGACAGTGCCGCCGGCCGCGCCGACGACTCCTCCGGCCACTGCCGCCTTAGTGCCCTTCCAGCTCATACGGCCGGGCTTACCGCCCCCGCCAACGGCCGCGAATGGAGGCGGCCGAGGCTGGCCCGGGAACCCCATAGGATCGTCCGCCGGAGGCGGCCAGATCCCGAAACCGCGGCTCAACATCTGTGACGGATCGTTCATCGATACCTCCACAAGTGATCAAGTAACACTAGATTCAGTCGCTACCACGAGGAACAGAGATCAGAAACCGACAGGGGGAGCACTGTTCGCCACGGAATCGAACAAAATCGATGGACTATCGATCGCCACGAAACCCTAACCCCGGTCCGCGATCTGATCGATCCCAACCCTAACTCTAATCGGATTCTTATTCGTCCCCGGTTTCGATTTAGTTTCTCGAGGCACTTGGGAGACTATTTATAGGCACGGAAGAAGGGTGGTCCGTGTGCGGGAACGGTCATGATTGCGCATCTGGTCGATCGTACGGCCGCGATTCGCAGCGTTGCGTGCGGTCGGATCCCGCTTCGAAGTCCCGAGTGAACGAACTCGTACACGGCATTCCGCAAGCAAATACGTACACATCATTCTTTTTTGCCCGACTACTGACTTACCTGAAAAGTTACCCTGGTAGGTGGCCTGGTCTCCACTGCTGGGTCCCAAGCGGGACAGCATCGCCTCTCTCCCTCCTCTCACCTACCGATCGAGAATGTGGGGTAAGGCAACTGCATGTAGTATTCCTTCACGTACTCGGTCAAACACCATCAAATTGCAATGAAAGGATTAGTGGGAAAAATCGATGATAATTGCTTTAATAGAAGTCAATATACATGCATTGTCATAATAACAAGTCTTGATTTATTATTTTATTGTTAGTGTCTCATCAAAGTTGATTTGATTTAACTCGTTCTCTTCTGAATCTTAACGCGTTACTGTCAATCCCAATCATCACCTCTGTATTTATATATATTATACAAAACAAAAAGTTTGAGAGAGCTTAAAAACTCCAAATAAGAGTTTGAAATTAGGAAGATAATATCGAAAGACGTTACTATTTATAGTATCATTGAGCTTTTAAGACATCAAATGAATCATAATCATAATTAAAATTATTTAAAAAGAGACGAGTAGCTAATAATTATATAAAAAAATTAAATCTAAAATCAAAGGATATGTATTAGTCCTTTCTCTCTAATACCAAAATTTATAATAATAATCGATATTATTGTATAAGCATGTACATATAATTTTTACATTTTGAAATATATAAGAAAATTTTGAAAGAATAAATATGAAATCCATTTAATTCAAAGTGATATAATATCAATTTTGTGGTGATTCAAAAGATGTACGATGGAATTATAATTATCAACAAAACCAGAAGACCGTGTAAACCGGAAAAACCCGACCGAATCGAACCGCACACATCGGTCCGGTTTTTTCTTGGTTCACAAGCGAGCAGGTCGATAGACTCCGTTTCACGGTCGTATGGCCCACAAAGCGGCGAGGAGAGGAACAGGAAAGGAGGAGAAAGGGTGTGGCAATGGCGGAAGAGGGCAAGCCCGACGCCCAGCTGTTCCAGCTTCTCTCCACGCTCCTCGAACAGGTCTCCTACTCTCTCTCTCTTCCTTGCTCTTCTTCTGGTCGTCGTGTCCCGTCTTATCCGTGATCTGATCGATATCTGTGCAAAAAGATGTTTTTGCTGTCGCTTCGGCTGCTACCGATCTTTCTGTTCTTGGAGGATTTAAATCTCTGCCCTGTCCTATTGATCCTAAATTCTTCCTTCAGATCTGTTTATGTTAGTTCTTGATTTTGAGGTATGCCTGGTTGAAATTTTCGGTTTTTTTATTGTGATTTGGATCGTTGCTTATGCGGCGATGAGATACAAATACACTCAATTGCGGATCGTAATTAGGAATATTGTTCCGATGTCAGGTCGATCATGAAACTAGAAATTGCGATTTGCGACTTCGAATCCCCTGTACACGGAACTTTATGCGAACAGCAGGACCACAGAATTCTTGAGGGGAATGCTAAATATGAATCTTAGTTGAATGTCTCCCTGTTAAAGGAGTTAACATAATCAACCTGCACGAAAGAGTATAGAACACCCAAACATTGACTCTTACAAATTTTAGAAACAAACTTAATATTGCTAAGGTAAATGGAGACAATTGGTTCAGAATGAGAAAATCAAAAGAAAAGGGAAGCAAGAACTACATGACAGACATGTGGTCTCCTATTCCGAGATATATTGTTTCTTTTTCTTGATAATTAGCCACTTAGTTACAATGTTCTATTTCATTAAGTCACATTTTTGGGATCTTATGGCTTGTAGTTGTTGTATTATACAAGCATTCCTATCCTTAAAATCAATGTCATCTTCTCTCCAGAACACCCTTTCGGCACATCTCTCTTTATATTCCTCATCTGTTGTTCTTATTTTTCTCCTTCTTTCCTCTATTTCTGGTCCTAATTCTGCCCTACTGAAAGTAGTTTTTCCGCTAGCTATTTGAAATGGAGAATTGCTTATAGTATTGCCCTGCTGCAAGTTCGTAATATTCTTTTTGTTATTGTAACTTATATGTCAATCATCTTTATGTCAATTAAAAGATATCTGGCACATTGGAAACAAATGCTTATTTTTGTTGGCATCATAAATCTTGGATCATACTGTATCTAGTCATCTAAGCAACCCATAATCTAGTAAAAATGATTTTGTGTAAACTTTATTAAATCTCTTGGCTGTTGATGTGGAAGATGAATCTTCAAGTCAAGCTTGTGCTTGCCAGCCAAATCTTCGGGCATGCTTGGAATAGGATTTTATGTATGCTGATGTCTCTGTCCCCAGATTCTCCAAACTTGTATGCATTACCAATATTCACCAGTGAGCACCGTTGAGCAAAGATGCAACTGTCTCCTTTTCATCAGAATGGTACTAGTGGGTAATTCATAAAATATGTATTCTCAATCCTGCATGGCATATTCCTTTATCAAGCTAGACCCACAATGCAGTTTGAAGATTTTGGCATGATGTTTTGGTAGTCCTAATTTAATGTACTCAAGTTTGAGCTAATCTTAATGTGGCTATGCTACGAAGTCATGGCATGGGTTGAAGGAGACAATGAAAGTGACATTCTCCTAAATATGTCATTCAAGTAACAATGTTTTTAACATTTTGAATCTTATTTCTAAACTGTCATCTATCATTGTGTATTTTATATGTCTGCCATTTGTCCTGGAAATATTTTACTTTTATGGGAGTCCAGACAGGATGATGCATTATGGTCGCGAATATCTTTTTCTAGTCAGTTGTGTGTCACACTCCTTGACTAAAACAAACATGTGTAGGTCGAGACTTTGAGCAACCAAGAAGAAGTTGAACTCCGAGCCAAGATAGAAGCACTTGGATTAGAAGTCACCAAGGTCCCTCCTAAACCATCTAAGCATCTCGATGAGGTACTACTGCACGCCCCATGATTTTATTTGATCTATGTGTTCCCAGCTGCATTTCCCATGGTGTCTATTTGTTTGTCCAATGGTTGTAGCTTGAAATAGCTGAGGAGTTGGATAAGCTCTCGGCGAAGCTCGATGAAGTTGACCAGATGATATCCTCAGCTATGGCTGCAGATCCTCAGGTGCAGTCTCTCTTGAGCAGCACCGCTGATGTTTGGATGCCGGTCATCACCGCAAATGCCGATGAAAGGCGAGCTTTCACTGTTACAGATGGTGAGAGCAGTCATGAAGAGCAACCGGTTCTTCCCAGCCAATGAGTCTGCTATCGCATTAACCGCTTTAATTGTCCATCATGAGCCCTAGGAATAAATTTATTTGTTGCTGCTTTATGCTATGACAATAAGCATATTTTTTTCTCTGTTTGTTGAACAAATGGCTTTGAACTTATAAATACTATCAGTTTATAGATCAAATCAATATACTACAGCAAGGATGGATGAGGGTCAAATGTTTCTTTGTTGCAGGGTTTTGATTTCAAACTAGTATCAGGGCATTGTTTCATAACCCATTTAGATACAAGTGATGGGATTAAATCAAATGGAAAAAACCTTTTAGTGCACTTGCTTGTTGGATGATCAAATGACTTAACAAGCATTGGATCTAATTTGGAGCTTTATTTGACCATGTTGACCATCAACTTTGCTCTCAACTTCTCAATAATCTCCTCCAACCTACATCCATATGAGGTGAGAGGTACTAATAGATGGATTATGTACTCCATGCATGTTTGGTACTTGTAATTGCAACTAAGTCCTACAAAAAACAACTCAGTCAGCCCATTCATGAACAGAATTACGCTCATATATTTTGACAGCATAATCTCTTAATATAACAACATAACAAGTCGTAATGTCCCAACTACTTATTAAGCTCTGATTTAATAGTATAATCTCTCAATGCAACAAATTCGAGAAGTGTGATCTACTTTGGAATGCATCACTTCTCGTATCACCTAAACACAGAGATCCTCATCATTCTTCATGTAATGAATGATTCACTTAATCGCCTAAACACACAGTATAAAGGGAACAAAAACTGCTCATCATTCTATGAATGCAAAGCCTGCAACCTGCAAGTGATTTTTATTGGGTTTGCAGTCACGGCTCTGAGAGGTTTATGAACGAGTAGTCGTCGTCCTCTTTGCTGTCTCCTACCGCCTGTGGCTTCTTTTGTTCAGCTGATCCAGTGAGCAGGTCAGTGGAAGCTGCAAAGGTTGGGTTGGGGGTGGCAGTGACCGCTGGTGCCGATAGCACCTCAGGAGTAGCATACTGTAAGCCTTGGTCGGAGAGGTGCCGCCGCCGAGAAGGCGATGGCGATATGCCGGTGGCCTTGAAGTGAGGAATTGGGTGCACCGTGGTTGCCTTGGGGCTTCCCTTGGGACTGGTGTTTGGGGACCGGGATGGGGAGTTTCCGGAGCCCTTTGGGTTCTTCTTCTTCACAGCCTGGTGCCATTTCTTGAGAGCTTTCGATGTTTGTTCGTCGAAGATGGACCTCTTCATGTGCGAACCCATCTGAAGCAAGTGAAGAGAACAAAACATAGATCATTGATCGATCATGAATGATTGAAACTATAGGGAAGATACGGACAGTTTTATGCAAAATTCACACTAACGAGATCTAACGAGAGCTAACGAGATAACTGATCTATTAATTTCATTAAATTTAAACTACCTAAGTTAGATTTGATAATAGTATACTAAATCAAACTGTCAGGTCTTAGTCTACATGATAACTATGCATCTACAACCTACCTGGAAGCCTGAAATGAAAACAAGGTGAGGAAAACTTGCCTGAGATACAAGTGCATATAGGGGAAGTGTAATGTAGCTACACAAAACTTGAACTGCAACCCTGCAAAAACGCCAGCAGGAAACAAATATAAGCCCACAAATCTCCTGAATGTGATCCAGCTCTAGCATCATCGTCATATAGAATCATCCAATCTTTTACAGGACATCTAAATCTTCCTTGGTCTTAAGTTGATAGCAGTTCGTATATATGAGATTATATAGCAGCTTGCTTTCGAGGACAAATGCCAAAAGTAATTAGTTTCACAGGTTTTCATCTGGATGACTACAGTTGATGGAAAATGAACTTAGATAAAGCTGGAAAGAAAGTAGATAAACTAGGGCAATGTTCATGTTGATATTTTATACTAGCAGACAGAGATCTACTGTTGTGATTGATAGTGATGTAATAATAACACAAGCATTTTGCATTAGACAAACAGGACTTCTGTATATTCTTCTGAAATTGCAATACAACAAAATCAAATACTGAATTCTAGCCAGCATTCGACCTTAGAAATAGAAAAATGCAACAAAACTCACCCTAAGCAGATTCTGGCAATCATGAGCTTAGAATTATCTTGGAAGCAAGAGTGCAAGCCAAACTCATACTAGAAAAAAAAGAAAAACAGTTTTGAAAAGAGATAAGTACAGAATCATGAGGCAATACAAAAAAAAATAAGTGGAGAGAGAGAGAGAGAAGGCCTAACCCATATCCATATAAGATATATCAGTTGAAAAGCATTCTGCAAGAAATATAAAAGAACATTTCAGATAATTTGCAAGACACTAATATAATCACATCCATAGGGTAGCAGTATGCCCATCAATGAAAAAGGAAAAAAAAAACAGAACATGCAAGAATTATAGTGTTGATGGTGAAGCCCAGAAACCAAGTTCTATAAAGTGGGTCTATGATATTGAACAAGATCTAATCAATCTGGCAGAGTTCCAATTTTAAAGTTTGAAAAAAATGGATATAAGCATTTCTATGTACCTATGAACTAAATTGTTGAATTTTTGTAGAGGGACTTAAATTGTATTTCACTTTGAAATCTTCCCTATAACCCTACAAAAATTAGGAAATTCATACATGTACTGCCGAACTCTAGATTTGTCAAATAAAATCCTTATTGCATCTTCCATATTTTGGTATCAAGTAAATCATGATTAAAATATTTGGGTTAGTTTAAGCCACAAGTCAAACGACTCTTATCTTTAACTATAGCTATAAATGATCAATTTGAAGGTGTTGGGTATGGTTTGCCTGACTGGTCCATACCGATATATCATCCAACCATCGATATGGTATGCATCGATCTACTAACACATGATATGGTGGGACATACTAACAGATTAATATGTACCACCCATACCAAGCGATACATCATGATGCGACGAACCTTGGTGTTGGCTCACTATGACCTAGAGATAAAGGGAAAAATATACAGGAAAATTTGATGTTATTGGTAACTACCATCGTCTAAGATTTTTGAAGTTAAAATATTGGTAATTATCTCAGGAAAAGTGGTATGACAATGAGTGACAAAATATTTAGAGGGGTGAAATTAATGTTGGTAATTGTCGCTAATGACCATCAAAATGAAAGCAAAAGAATTTGTGAAGAGGGATGATAAGAATAAGTGGCTAGTTGCTAATTATGGGTTATAGGAAATGGAACAAGAGAAAGCAAGAGACTGAGGAGCAAAGATGAAGAGGGGAAAGGGTGGTTTCCACCAGCAATCACCAAAGGCTATATCCTATATATCCAGGCCACTTTAATTTTGTTGGTGCAATCACTACAGTTCTTTAAAGTTTTCATATAAGAAATATATATTTTATGTTGAGATTACCATCAGTATATGATAGTATAAGGTGTTCAGGACTAAATTCCATAATTTTATGGATATATACAGGTGTTACGTCAGATCATAACTATTGTATGTATGTGTATATATATATACACGCATATTTTAAGAACTACCATGAACAGAAACATAATTTGAAAGATCAACCAAGAAGTGGATTCTTTTGCATCTATTGATCACTATTCATAGATATAAAAGGAAAATGTACCTGAAACAATGTAAAATGGATGAGAAACAGAATGAATTGAGGACGACCGAACCAGAAATGATGGTCGCTAAGCTGTACAAGAGGAATTCCCTGGATCACTGCATGTCTCTCTTTGATCTCGAGAGCCATCCGAGTGATGATAGCTTGCAACTTCGTTCCAACAGCCAAGATTGTCTGCAAAAGTGATTGTTTCATCAGGCTGAACAGAGAAAATGACCAGTATAGCACCGTTGTGCTATATGTAGCTTACAATAAGAGGAATGACGGATATCCAGAATAATAAAAGCCCTCCTGGAAGCAGAAGAAGTTACTGTCAATTATGGCAATGTAACTGGTCATCCAAAGATAACCCAAAAACAATATGGAACAGATTAATAGGTGTTTCGGAATAACGAACCTTCCACATTAACTAGCAAGAAAAGCACTGCTGAAGCCCATAAGATAGGACTGATCAACCACAAAACGAAATGAGTCAAAAGTTTCCAGGCTAGAATGAGCAAAATTAAGAATTGAAATGAGAACAGTAAGAGGTGCATTTGTACAATTAAGCACATTGTTGATTAGTCCATAACACTATATATTTGTACAAATTTCAAGAAAAGTGCATGCTAAAAACAACTAAGTTTCATTATCTGCAACAAAATAGCATCATATTCATTGAAAAGCTGGTTTCTGTTGAGTTTGAACTGTGAGTGGCTTCATCAAGATGGTATTTCTAGATATCTCACGTAGTTGATGTTCTTTATTTACATCAAGTGTTAACAAACATAATTAATGGTTGCCAAAGTGATTTATTAGTAGGTGTGATAATGTCAGAAATCTGGGTGTCTAGAACCAAGGTCAGAAAAGATATGGAGTTGTTATGTAGGAACAGACAACATATACCTTGTCTTAGGAATCTGATACACACATGTATCTGTAAGTTATAAGTGGTATAAAGTGATAATTCCAAAGAAAGAAGACCTACAAATATGTAATAGTGATTACAGCAGAAAAATAAAAAGTACCAGTGACTTGTGGTCACTTACAATCCCAATGACCAGTCCAATTACCATCTTATTCGCTGGCATTTCCTTTTTCTATTCATCACACACCTCATGTGGATCTAGCTTTCAACAGCAGCAGAACATGTAGTGTTATTCATGTTAATGGACAAATATTATTCTCATTATGTTTATTTCATAATTTTCATTGCCTATATCATATCAAATACAGAAGTCCTATACTTAGTTTCCTTCATACTAAGACCATGTGATAAATCAAATATTCAATCAAAGCAGAATACCTTGAGGGCTACCATTGTGCTTATGATTTATTAGCAGTTTTCACTCAGAAAAGAAAATATTCCATACTGATTGACTTGTGATAATGCAAGTAATGCTTGAGCTAAGAAATTCAAAAAAGAGTCCCTATGACATCTTAGAATAGTTGGTGGAAGTCATCAAGGAATGCCTAAAATTTTGATCTGATGTCAATATCAGTTAGCAACTGAACATGTATGACACCTGCATAGACTGACATACTGACTCTTAGCAAGGGTAAGGAGGAGAAGAGGAGGAAGTGGAAGAGGAGGTGGGGGAGGAGGACTGGCAGACTAATTGTGATTCATGCCAAAACTTAATTCATTGCATCAAAACAGCAAAACACAATAATGAGCCAGTTTAATAAGTTGACAATAGGCATATGATTTAGAGTTGCTTCGTGATTTATTACATACCTGATCCCCACAACAACCTTAAAGTCATCCTCCAGTGATCTTTCAATGTATTTTTGGAAATCAAATTTACTACCAGGAGCTAGATGAACCTGTAGCAATTGACATAAACAATGAAATAAACAAGAATTCAATTTGAAAGTAGTGATGCTTCTACCATGAAAACTCACAGTGATGAAGCCATGTCGCATAGCCAAATAATCAGCTTTTCCAACAGAGATAAAAAATTGACGAAAAAAGCTAACCTGCAAAAGCAGCATTATCAGAAGGAGCACCATCTCCATAACAAAGATAACACACTTAATAAATACATGGCATTTTCAGTAGGAAAACAAATAAATAGAAAATTTTAGCATATTTTCAAGTTCAATCAAACTAATAGAGGTTTGAAATCATTGAGCAAGTTGTGTTATCTTGAGATTAAACAGGTTGAACACATTGTTTTATGTTAGAATGTGGTTACATGTGTAAATTATCAAGCAAGTTTAATAACAAGCTAAAAAGTGAATTAAACAAACCCATCTGTAAGATTTTCTTACCATGTAGAATGAGATTGGGATTCTGTTCCAGAAACTTGTATGTTGTCTCACAAAAGATGTCTCATGTGAAAACCTAAATCTTGAGGGATCTGTACCATTTGAATGCAACAAAACTCATTTTTATTTAAATGAATAAATGGAAAGAGTAGTTGGTGAAGAAGGTAGAATTGCCATGTTTAAAAGAATAAAAACCATGCCCCACCAGAACTGTCAAAATACAAATCTCACCTAGTCAACTAATTTGACAGATACATGAAACCTGGCTACAGACAAGTCTCATGTTTGAACACTGTGTGATTATCTCAACTTAGATGGAACAAATACACCAATAAGAAAGGAAAACAAAATGTTCAACACAAAGAAATCTGCCTCTACAATGGGACATTTTACTATTTTGTTGCTGATATGATCTATATTTGTGTTTTGAGCATAAACAAGCATATCAAGCAGTACTGCTCAGAGAATTTAGAGATCACTGCTAATCATGGAAATACATGTGTTGAATCTTGCTTCAGAGGTGCAAAAAAAATAGTCAACCATTTTTAGCGATACATCATCAACTAGATCAAGAATTTATATATTGTTTTAAAGCTGATTCCATTAACATACTGGACCAGTATGGTACTAGTATATAAATTGGTATATTGACTTGTACCATCCAGTATCATTGTACAAAAAATAAGAAAATAAAAATGAACTGATATATTTTCGTATTGAGCTTTCTATTTTGACATTTAGCAATTAACTGATAATAAATTTCCAAAAAACTGAATTGTAAGTCTATTGCACAGAAAAAATAATTTGAATTTTAAATACCATTTGAGAATTCATAATCTAAAGATAAAGTCTCCTTTTCCCACTCCTTCCACCCATGAATCTGCATGAAATAAATTCTTTGAGAAAAATAAGTTCAATATACTTCCTTTTACTGATGCAGGAAATTATTTGAAGATTACAAAGACAAGAATCAGTAGAAATTCAAGTAACTACTCACCTTTGCTCTTCCAAAAGCCATTGTAAGAGCACTATAGAAAACATGAAAGATGGCCAAGAAAAATATGAATATGTGCAACTGATGTAGGCCATGTAATGAAATCAGTGGTACCTTCCCCTGCTCAGAAAGAATAGTGAATCCAGAAAGTACTATAAAAATTAACTATGTTGAAAAAGGGAATAATAAGTGAAACAAGGTCTAGTTCTAAAGAATTTTAGATCACATGTAAGCAACTGAAGTACAAAGCCGCTAGAAAAATTTTGACAAATCAGGAAATGTTGATAAATTTGCATGCTGCAACTCTTCCAGTTGGTAGGTTAACAACAACATTTAAGTACAGAATGATCAAATCCTGTTAAAGATACCTAAAAATTCTGTTATCTTCATGACTTTTACATTCTTCCTAGTTCCTACCATTAGCCCCACATCAACTACCATGACATCCAGCTTTGATGTCTGATGATGGTATAAACTATAAACTATAAGCTATAAACTGAAATCAGCATTAAAATGGATTGTAATACTATTAGTTCCAAATTGAAAGTGAAAGAACATTTTAGTTGGTTTATATGACTAAAATAGATCTAATATTTCTAGTTTGAGCGTAAGCATCTTGGGCCAGTGGTTCAAGTCTATCAAATTAATAGATCAGTTATCTCATTAGATTGGATCATGACAAATGAAATCGGAATGGATTTAGTATTAAGCATGGTGAAGGAGAAAGGGCTACCTATAAATAGAGTTGAAAGCACATCACCACCACACTAATGCTTGATTCCAAGGCTTTCCATGATACCAAAGCTCACTACAATACCAAGGCTCTCTATTGAAATGGATATGGTCCTGAGAGCAATAATTAAGTGCTCATACATCAAATCAGAATGGACTTAGTATTAGACATGCTGAAGGAGAAAGGGCTACCTATAAATAGAGTTGAAACTTGAAAGCACATCCCCACCATACTAATGGTTGATTTCAAGGCTTTCCATGATACCAAAGCACACTACAATACCAAGGCTCTCCCTATATTGAAATGGATATGGTTCTGGGACCAATAATTAGGTGCTCATATGTCAGATGTACTATTCCTTTCAGAAAAGGCCTTATTTACCATGTTGATTATCAACTAACATCCTCAGATTCATGCTATTCGGACAACAAAATCATCCTATGAGCAATGAAAGCACTCTGGACTCATAATGAAAAACCAAATATGCTTCAAATTGTAGGCCCAAATCACAAAATTTACTTACTTTGGAACAATGAGGATTTCCTGAAGACTCTACTAACATTCTATGCTTTAAATTGATTCTGTCTGGCGTGCCCCATAAAAGCCTCCTATGGTGAGTTTCACCCTCTTCAGTTTCCACCTCCTTCAGACATGGCAACATGGTATCTGCAGCTTCCTCAGGTATGCAGATTTGGACAATATAGTTCTGTCCAAATGTCAGCAGTAAGGATATAAACCCAAGAATCATCAACTCTGCAAAATCCACCACGAGTCAATGGTGGTTACTTCAATATCAAATCTACAGTCCCTTCTAATTGCAACATAACATTCATACATTACTTTGACAGGGATGTCAAGTCACAAGGAGATTAAAAGATATGAATCTTTCACAAAAGGCAAATCTTTCCAAAAATATTATGTTTATGCAAATTGGGCTTTTCTACTTACTGTTATAATTGGTTCTGTTTGTTACGAAATATAAGTTATATTAAGTTTTGGAATTTCTTTTCAAAAGCCAGTGTTCTTTCACTGAAACTAACTGCAGAGAAATCAGTGTATAAAGGACTGATAAGTAGACAATAATTCATCTCATATTTTGCCTGCTCTAGTGATTGATAGACTGAAGACTGAACCAATAGTTGAAATTAGCTGTCCAGATGACTTATGTGGAACAATGCTTGAAAAAGGGTTTAGAAAGCTACACTAGCAGATGATACTATTTTTTTATATTGTGATTTTAACGTATCATGGCCCAACCAAACTTCAACTAGTCTGGACTCAAGTCCTTATAGCCCGGGCAACTTTGTCTCGAACTGGTATGCACAGCCCAATATGGATGAAACCACCGAAACGGGATCCTTAGCTTAGAACTAAAGATACCTACTTTTGTTATGAATTAAAATGTTTCTCTAACTTCAGAAAAAAAAAACTAATGCAGCTACAAATGAAGATTTATATGAGCTTTTGAATCTGATTCAGGATGTAAATGTGGATAAGAGAACTATAAAACATATATGCATATGGAGATAGGATTGCTTTGGTACATACTTTTTTTTATCTATGTACAGCATCCTAGAATTTGGACAATGGTGACCAAGTTGTATGCTTCGTAACTGGTCAAGTTGTGCCACTTCAGAACTAAGAACTTTTGGTTGGTCATCAATAAATAATAAGATATTGACTAGAGGTGATTCAGCGAAGAGAAAACGGAACAGGGATGACTTTGTGCAGCACTTGTGCTAAAAAAAAACTGCTATCATCCACCCCTTTATTCTCCTTTGGTGAAGAAACCGCAGAAGTAGACAAAGGCCTGTTTCTGTCAAACCTTAATGGAGATATTGGACAGAGGAAACATTCAAGCAGAGGAGATAATTAATAGGGATCTGCTGTAGGTAGCTTCCATCTGATTGTGGAAAGAAAAGAGAAATGATAAATAAGGGACTTTAAACAGTAAACATCAGTATATTTTGTCTCACAGAGCTTAATTTATTTCAGTCTAACTTCTGGCTAGACGCAGCTTCAGCAAAGAAGACAGAAGATTCTAAAATTAGCGGTTAACAGTATTTATTTTAGTAAGTGTAGATGAGTTTCTTCCAAAGGAAAACTATGAAGTGAAGATTAGACTGGATCTTTTGCATTCTATTTTTCAGTTTTAGGTTCATATAATTAGGAAGAGAATGAAACTAGGTTCTTACCAGCTTTAATCTTCTCAAGAGCTTCGAACATGGCCTTCCTGTGCCTCTCTGCGAACCACTGTCAACAAAGATGATGTCAAAAGCAAACTTCACAGGCATGCTGAACTGAAGAAGATAAAACTTCACTACATTGGTTTATGCTAGTGCTAAATGATGATATAAACCATGCTGTTCTCCACTTAAGCTCTAAAAATATATGATGATGGAGCATTCAAGTAGTAAATTCACTTAGGGAGACACTAATATACAGAATAAAACTAGCATAGAAAAAAGGCAGTAGGCAGGTCTAAACATCAGAAAAACAATGCAAAAGACACTATGTTATCACAATATGAGAGAAGACAGTATCTTTTTTATCCTTACCTCTCAATTCGACGAACACAATTACATGAAATTCGTGTAGTTTTTCTTTGTAAACAATTCGTCATATAAATAAATGCACAACAAGAATAGGACCAAAAATTGTGGGTAGAGGAAATATCTTTGATTTGTGCATATAATCTTCCATCTAAAAGAAATTAAATAGATAGAAAAGAGAAATGAACATGAATTAGTTACAAAAATAATCTATAAACTCGTTCCGATATGGCTTTATATAAGACAAAATTAGAACAATGGAAACCCCAAACGGGAAAGCTCAAGATAACTGCGATAGATTATGAAACAAAATTAATTGAAGATAACATCTTTTTTATGATTTAGGTCCTAAAAAACAATATGTTAATATTAGAAAAAGAAAAGGCAGAAAATAAACACGCACTTAAAAGAAAAGGGTACGAAGCTGGATCGGGTTACCTCTCCGAGGTGGTGCAGGCCCTTCTCCAACAAAATGGAGATCAAGATGATGACGGCACAGACGGAGGCCACCGCCCACGTCGGCGTCTCGTCTAGCTCTCTCGAGTGTCCACCGCTACCGCCTTCGGCCATTGCCAATCTCCTACACGATACAAAACTCTGACCTTTCTCCAAGGATCAAGAAGACAATGAAAATGAATAACGGGAAAACAGAGAGAGAGGGAGAGAGAGAGAGAGAGAGAGAGAGAGAGAGAGAGAGAGAGAGGCAGAAGAGGGAATTGCCCGAAGAAGAGATGGTGGGAACCACAAGATCTAGCAACGGTAAAAGGCAACTAACAAAATTAATACCGTTCTGCGACCACCCGTCTCCTCTACCTTATTGTTGATTGGTCAATTTGATGACCGCTCGGTTAAGAGCACTACAATCTGACTGCAATAAATCCTCGTGGGCCCCACAGAGCGGAGTTTCCACGTAAGATGAGAATGCCGCTGGGTCCCAACAAACCGCCCCGGTATTTACTCTGTTACCTATTCCTTTCTTATTTGTCAGCTTAAACAAATCCAATTTGGGTTTAATCCAAATGCTTGAATAATTATTAAATTTAGAAAATTAGTAGGATGATAAATTCATCTATAAGTTTTGATTCCTAGTACCAATTATTTCAACAAAGTAAGTCTATTTCATTTCCCAAAGATCATCATAAGATGATTATAATGATTGCCACATAATTGTTCAAAAATAGTACATCATTGGTAATAAATCATAATATCTCAATTATTTGAGATCAACTATATCTATTCTTATCATTACTGAGATCTGTACTAAGCAATTTCCTTGCTAGAAATTTAAAAAAAAAATTAGATTTTCATTTGTAATATAATAAAAATAACATGTATCTATATGAGCCCTTACCAATACAACATTGGTACATGAAATTATGAATATTGATTCCAACTTATTTCAGGAGGAAAGAAAAACTTTAAATTGAGTAATCATATATGAAACCTAACATATTGGATTAAATGCAATAAAGAGCAAACATCTGAAGCAAAAATTGCAGCTGATATTGACAATTGAATAGAAGGTCTGCACTTGAGAGCTCATGCATCCTCATGTCAATTTTACATTAGACCTATCATCATCTTCTATGGGTAGGAAGGTAATGGGACAATGGATATTTCATAGGCAAAACTTCATCAAGGGGAAATGTGATCTGCCTAGTTACAAGTATGATACTGTGAGCCAACACTTGTATGGTAATAGTATTTTGAGACTAACTCTCAGCTTGCAGAGTAGTAAGCATAAATCAATCATAACTTTCAATGTCAGCATTGACATTGTTGGTTGGCTTCTCCATCTGTCCTCTCTTGGATCTGTTCTTGGCATCTTCTACCTTGTCATCAACAAAGGAGAGGAACTTCTGAAGCCTGCGACTGGATCGAGGCGTTTGCTGGTCGCTGGAAGGGCCTTGGTCATCCGGTGGAGGAAGCTGGACAAATTGGCGTATCATGATGATGAAGTATATGAGGAGAGCCAAGAAACACGACATTCCACATATGAGAAACAAGCCCCAGAAGCTGCTAAGATGAAGCCGTTCTGAGTCGATTTCATCGGTTTCAGAGATGCAGGCAGCCCTTGTGAACCATTTGTCATGGATCCTCTGGAGATCTCCATTCTCGGATAAAGTCAGTATCGCGGTTGACATGTCAACAGCTAAAGGAGAGTCCCTCGGAAAGACCTAAATTAGAAATGGTTGGTTCATCAAGAAACAAAGTGGTGGATGCTAAAGTTGCAGGCATGAAAAAACGAACTAGCAGCTTATTATACTTTGGACATGACATAGTGAAACTAACTGTAACATCAAAATATTAAAAGAAAATTTGGTTAAATAGACAACAGATTTATGTTACCTTGGTGGCTTAGTATGACAATCTAGAATGGATAATCATCAATATGATCAACACCATGCACTTTGCTCCTTGTTATCTAAGCATCATCATTGCAGCCGGCTTTTACAACAGATTATTATTCATCACATTTAGCTGTCCTTTTCTTTGATGTTTCCTTAAAAAACATATCAATGCATAGTTGCATACCACTAAACAGAGCTAGCTTATCTATCATAAGCCTGATCTGTGAGTTGATGGTTTATGAATCTTATGGTAACATGCAAGGGATCAGCAGCTGTGTAGATGTGTGTTTGTGCAACTCTAGATCAGAAGACAACATTTTCAAAAAAATAATTCAGAACAATGTATGTAAGCACAGACAAGCCAATCAAAAACTGCAGTTTATAAAGCACATTTACAATGATAGAAGTTTCTACTTTAGAAATTCAAATATCTGGTAAATAATGACCACATACAGAGAGTGAAAACTATGAACTCTGCACATTCTGGTTAAATGAACTTAGATCATCACGGCTCTTTATCTGCTTTACCTCACACATTACCACTCAATCCTCTCACTGAAGCCTAAGTGTACTTTTCTATTGATCTCATGTACTGTTCCTGGTCCTGTATCAAATTAGCCAAAGTAGGATGCCAAGTCTCTCAGTTTTCGCCTAGGATTAACCCACCAGGTCTCTTTGAAGATGGTACTTGTGATTTATCTATATACTCAAACTCTAACAGACAGCCATCACATATCTCTTGGAGTAGCAACGATGTAGAACAAGGTAGAGAAATAGAGAGAGAGTAAAAGAGAAGTGAGATTAGAGATTAAAGAGGAGAGAAAGAGGAATGAGATTAGAGATTAGAGAGGAAAGAAAGAGAGGAGTCAGATTAGAGATTAGAGAGGAGAGAAAGACACTAGAAGAGAGATGATGCAATTCTTTTTCATTCAAATCTGAAGTCATCCATTGACAAGCTCCACTATATATATAGGTGTTTAGGAGTCTTACTATAATCAATAAAGGCAATGTTTCCTAAGAGTAATCTCCTAGGGAATTAACATGCCTTTTAAAAATCCAAAATGTGACTTCTATGATACCTAAAGAAAAAATAAGTGCACTTAATACGAAAAGAGTCCATAGAAAGATCAAAAGACTCAATTTTCAACACAACTCTTAGAATTTCTAAGCCAACTATTTGATGTATTTTTTGTTGATTTCTTTGCCTAAAATGATTTTTTTTTAAATCCTTTGTAATAGATGGTTATCCATCATTCTTTCCCGATGGAAAATAACTCGACCTCGGAGAGCGATTTGCAAGGTACTGGTCTAATAAGTCTAGTGCAAAATCACAAAATTCCTCTAAAGTAATTCAAGTGGCATCGAAAGTTGGACGATCACATCACTTGATAAGACAGTGCTGAGTAATGCTAGTAGCAAACATAATAAGGCAATCATTAAGAATGGCCTCTACATCATCCTTATGTTGTGGGAGAATCGATGCTTTGGGAGAATTATCACATGTAGGAACATCGGTAAACAAAGGAGGCTCAAAAGTACCATGATATGGAGTTAAATCCTCCACATTGAAAATTGGATTAATATTGAAGTCGGAAGGCAAATCGAGCATATATGCACTAGATCCCAGTTTTTAGATAATGGGGAAAGGGCCATTGGCTCGCACATACAACTTTTCAAATGAGTTTTTAGGAAATCTCTTAGGGTGAACGTGAACCAAGATAATTGCCAACTTGAAACTCTAGGTGTCTATAATGTACACTAGTAGCAAGTTTGTAACTTCCATTACCTAGGATAATTTTACGTCGAATTTCAACGTGCAAATCATGAATATGTTGAGTGAAGGAGTGGGCTAGTTCTAAGACGTGATAGTCAAGTGGAAATGGTGTAAGGTCAATGGCATGTTGGATTTCCCATGAGGGTGGCAACTCACTAGATAATTCCGAGAGTATAACATCAAAACATTCATCTAATAAAGATTTAAGCTCGGGAGTTAGGTCAAGTGCAAGGGCTGGGAATTTCTTTAGCAATAATGGCCACACAAAATTTGTTGTATAAGCTCTCTATTTCAAAAGATTTAGGATCCAGTAAGTGGAGTCTCTTGGAGGTTGGGACTTGTGGAAGAGATTTGGGAGTTCCTATTTTATTTTTTTCTAATGGTTTTGTTGGTCGCAGGATAATGTTTTTGCCTTTGTATTGAAAGGCATAGATGTTTTCTCTCTCATGATTGGTAACATCAAGGTCATACAACTAAGGCCGACCTAAAAGAATAAGAGCAACGTCCATTGGTAGCACATCATGGTAAATCTCACTCTGATAATCGCTCATTTTAATTGGCACCAAGCATCTCTCGGTCACATATAGAATGGTTTTGTCAACCCAAGATATTTTGAATGGGGTCGGATGTGATTGTACCTTAAGTTTTAGTCTCTTGATAGTAGATGTTAAGACTGTGTTCATAGTGCTACCCCCATCAATAGCCAATTTGCAAGTTCTTTCCCTACTTCGTACATAAGTATTGAAGATACTTGTCCTCTTTCATTCAGTGGAATCACTAGTAATAAAGAAAATAATGCTGACAACATTAACGTGGGCATCTTCAAATTTCTAGTTTGTTTTTATCACTTAAGTAGGCTTCGGATTCAACTACTTAGTTTGCTTCCTTGATTTGATCCTCGGGTTCTTGCTTTAAGGTAAGGGTATGTTGAGGATGATAGGAGGCAATGTGACCTCTATTATGATAACAATGACATTGGATTGAAGATGAACTAGTTTGAGAATCAATAGTTAAACGAGTTGGACGATTCATAGTTAAGCCAGGATTGTTGCTAGTAGTGGAGATTTTTAGCTTGATAGAACCACTACTTGGGGTAGATTGAAATATAGTTTTATTGTCGAGAAACTGAGAAGATGCTAGACGAATTGGATAAAGTTTAATGTACTTCTCAATCTTAAGGGCTCGTCGGGAAGTTTCCTCCATGGTGTCAAGAAAACTAAGGGAGACTTCCTGTTGGATGTCAAACCTCAACCCATTAACAAATATTTGAATACTGATGATTTGGTCTTCTTCTATTTTACACCTAAATAAAAGCTCCTCAAATTGGGCCAAGTACTCTACCACACTAAAATTTAACTATTTAAGACTTTAACAATTATTCAATGAATTAGCTTCGAAAGTAGGTCAATAAATATTTTTCCTTAAGTTTTTGTTTTATGACTTTCCATTGAGTGATGGGAGGCTCTTAACAGTGTTCAAGACTATGTTGGATGTATTATCAATATTTCCTAGCAGATCCTACCAATTTCATTTTTGTAAATCATACACATTTGGCATCAATCATTCCAGACAACTCGAAGTAGTCTTTCATGCTATTTAACTAGTCAACAAACACATTTGGGTCAAACATACCATCAAAGTCTTGCATATCCACTTTGACTCTTCTAGTCATTTCCCTTGGATTGTCAGCAAACCAAACTTGTTGGTCTATTACTCGGGTTTGTGGATTTGTAGTAGGTTTTAGGAATTCATCGTTGAGGTCAAAAACTTAGTCATTAGGAATTGCTAGAGCATGATCATGAATAGTTGCCCTATGGGTGAACTTAGGATTTGTTTGAACGAAGCCTTAGTATAATCAATGAAGGCAATGATTCCCAAGAATAATCTCCTAGGGAGTTAGTGTGCCATTTAGAAATCCAAAATGTAACTTCTAGGATACCTAAATAGTAAATATGTGCACTTAATACAAAAAATGTCCCTAAAAAGGCCAAGGGACTTTTAAATTTTCAACACAACTCGTAAAATTTCTAGGCCAACTAACTTGTGATTTTTTATTGATTTCTTTGTCTAGAATAAATGTTTTCTTTTTAAATCCTTTGTAAAGCTAGATGGTTCTGCATTAAGCAGTCCTCAAGGTTTCAAATACTGATCGGACTAGTATTCACCAGTCCGACCAATTACTAATATCAAAACATATAACCCAATGCCATACATATTGTCTCATTTTTATATTTTTATTATGTTATTCAATGATACAAACTGATACGCATCAGTCTACTGTGTGACATACTAGTACTGTTCCAGTCTGATTACTAAAACTAGTATTGAACCAATAAACATTTACATTCAACACTATACCGAAGTCCTAGAGAATCTTTCCTTTTTGAGTTGGTCACTTGATCCATTGATGATTCAGTAGAATTTTCTAAAGTTGACTTGGAACATCTATATGCTATCAGTTAATAAAGTCTCATTTGCAACAAATTTAGTTTTGAATTTGACAATCGATACTAACGTAGATGTGACTAAAACGAATTTGACAAAAAATTAGCTTTGAATTCAACACTAATTTGACACTAACTAAAGATAACAACAAATTTTCATTCCCAAATGTACAATTTGACACTAACCTAGATGTGAGTAAAACTTGAACTCAAAAGAAGACTGCCTACATTCTTCCTGCAACAAATTTGCTATCAACAACCTATTATCCTTACAAAAACCTTCACCTAAAACAATTATTTAGTTGTAATAGCAAGGATTCTTAAGTACTTCCATTATTTGAATACAAATATACACATTTTGGCCACAACATAATGAGGTAATATTTTTAAAACTTCCAAGATTTAGCAAATATAAGTAAGAATAGCCACTTATATGTTCATTAACAGCACACAAACTTCTGGAGTTATGCAGACACCTCTCAAGTTTTGAATAGCATATATCCTAGATAAAAATACACTTCAATTTTAACGTAATAGTCATCCATCAAATTTAGCTCAAGAAGACTTCTTTATACATATAAGCTCTATAACAATTTTACTTTCTAATACTCATATTCAAACTTCCTAACAAGATAATCTTAAGTTGATTAATCCAAAGTATGCAATACCGTACCGTACCGGTGTTTCGAGATTGGCTCGGTACGGTACGGTACCGTGTACCGAGCGGTATGCCAAGGCATACCGAGCAGTACACCAGAGCATACCGAGCGGTACATTATATCACTGTAGCACGTTCTGTCCGGTAGCGGATGGTCCGTGTACCGGTATGCCGTCGGACCGGTACGTACCGCCCGTACTGGGCGGTACCATTTGAAATTGCATATCATGGATTAATCAAACATCCTTATGATAATTGATAAAGGACATGCAGAAGCATACTGATATCAAGAAGGAATAATTTCTTTGCTCATATTTACAGAACAAGAAATCATGAATAACAAACAACAATAAAATTTTAAAATATCAAAATAGCTTTTGTAGATACTCACGAAACCCCAGCCACTTTTGGTAAATTCCGACCCAATAATTGCAAATTTGCAATTAGTTGACAGGAAGAGCTCAACATAGGCACGCTCGTCTACAATGGCTGCAACACCCCCATTCTCAGGCCCCAGTTCAAGAGCTTCAGCATACTCTTCTGGTGATCCAAGAGCTTTAAGTCTGGATCTTGGAATGCTGAGCTCCTCAACCATATAGTTTTCAGCAAATGAACCTACTTGAAATCCAATAAGTTCATCACTAGCTATTAAGCTGTCAATTCCTTTTATAGGAGATGAGAGTTGTTGCACAGTAAGAATTGATGTCAAACTTGCAGTGTAGCTAGACTGGATAATCAGAACCACGAAAAGCCATATTATCAGCACCACACGTCCTAGAGTGCTCACAGTATTCTCTCCTGAGAGAAAGAAAAAAAAGTTTTATGATTGTCTATCTTGGGCTGGAAGAGGTATCTAAGAGAACAATCGTACTCACTATGTGCAAAAAACAAAGTTGAAAAGCTGAACCTGCAATGGACAAATAACAGATTAGAAAGGAAAGAGGAAAAATATAAAACAAAGTAGTTTAGCAAACACATCATTCTAAATATGGCTCAAAAGAAGTGTCTGTTACTGATATAGCATATCTAAACTCATAAAATGGTTTGGCTTGCAAAGCTACTCTACAATTTCTTGCGCCAAATATTGATATACAATAGAAAGAAGGTAAGACCATAAGATTATCTACGCTGACCTAGATATTTTGTCGTATAGTAGTTGCAAAATTGTAGGATTTGTCTAGATGTGATTTCTGGCAATGTATTGTTCAATATCTCCTCTAGTCTGACAAGGAAAGCAAGAACGTTTTGTGTAGATAAGCCAAATTTAAATGTTTGATGATAATTAATCAACATAGGAATCACTTTCATTCAGAAATTAAATCGAATTTTGACAATTTTTAAAGCGTAAACTCTTTTCACCATCGATAGAAAAGTGGGGCTTCTGCAAAAGTTCATTTGCTTGTCATGTTCCATTTGTGAGACATATTTTCATAAAGCTTATAACTTACCAAAAAACTGTAACTATTTGTTGTCGTGGTGGACCACGAAATTCATCATTGATACGGTGCTCAAGGATCCATACAGCAGCTCCTATGACAAGAAAGGAAAGGCCTGTGACACACCACATTTCCAGAGTAAAAGGCTGCAGAAATGCCCAAGCATTTGACTTGTGTTTTCTAATGGGGGCTACTATAACAAGCCCGGACTCGATATACGGCTGTGTGAAATCAACTATCTTTGTTCGATTAGTGACAATGGCAATGTCACCGACAGCAGCATCAAATGCCTAGAAAGAGGAAAATTATAAGAATTAGTAAAATCAACACTGTCAATGAATTCCTTGTGGATATTTGTCTACAAAATTCTGATTTTATAGAAGATATTTTTTCTATTAGACTTACCCCTGTAGCAACCATATTTGTAAGTTCAAAGTAGCTAGGATTAGCATGACCATTACCAAATGGAATCAGCTTAAAAGGAACAGCATAGGGCAGTAAGTTGACAGCAGCAGTAAACACATCAATGCAGTAACCCTTCACAGTGCCTGTAGTTGGCGATTTTGAGACAAATTCCTTATAGCTGACTCTGTCAGGGACACCGATTTTAAGCTCCTTACCGTTATTAGGAAAGACCCATCCTCGAGGTTTTGTCGTTGTTTCTCCGGGCCAGATGACACTGTAGATCCGATCACTCCCAGGGGAAACATTAAGCGGCTTTGAATAAAGGGTATCAGGGGACACAATCGACAACCCAGAATAATTGGACCAAAAACCAACAGTTCTCGACCCAGTTCCGATTACATTTATGATATCAAATGCAGGATGAACAAGATTCCCATCAGAATCAAATCTAAGCAGTCCAGTTATACCTGAAAAATTTGACTTTCGGACTTTATCCAGCAGAAGTTGTCCTCCATCAAAGATACTCATCGCCTCAAGGTGAAGAGTGCCTCCCTGTGCATCATGCAAGCTTTTATCATCAGAAAATGAAATTATTCCACCGTCATCAAAGAAGGCATCTAGTGCTTTAGCCAACATCCACACAGTGTCATAAGCATATAAACCATATGAGTTAAGTCGGAAGTCTCCAATATTCTCCTTTCCGATCAAGTTTCTCCACCTAGAAATGAAGTCTCTCTTCTTCTTTGAATCAGCTGTGTGCTGACGAAGTGTAAGAACTCCTTGCATTGTCTCCATTGTACTGGAAGCAAGGGGACCTCTTGAATCTAGCAGAGATGAAAGCCAATCTGTAGTGATCCAAACGTACCCATTGGTCATCATTTCAAGATAATGTGCTACGGAAAGAATCATCGGACCATATTCTTGATTTGAATGTACAACAATAACACGAGACTCCATCAAGGCAACCTTGACTAGTAAATCTGTGACGTCACTCCTCGTGGCTCCAGGTGAAACTTGAGCTTTATATGATATCTTGCAACGCCTCTCTGCCAGTTTATCACCTAAGGCAGCCACACCATTTCTACCATGGTCATCGTCAACATAGACAGCAATCACCTGGCTCCACTGATAGTAGTCTACTATTTCAGCTATAGCGGCCATTTGAAACAGATCACTTTGCGTGGTCCGAACAAAATAGGGATACTCAAGCGCATTCAGAGTGGGGTCTGTTGCAGAAAATGACAGCAAAGGGACATGGAGCTCATTGGAAACATGAGAAATGACATGAGCGATGGTCGTACACTGCGGCCCAACTATCGCAACGGTATCAGTCTCCATAAACTGCAAAGCTGAGACATGAATGGAATGCACAACCAGTATAATTACGCTATCTCACAACTCAAGAAATCACGAACGAAAAGTAGATAGAAAAGGCCGATCACCTTCCATCATGCCCAAGAACCCACTGCAGTTGGTATCTCTCATTATGATCTGCAGCCTTGTGCCCCGAAGAACAGACGGGTCAGAGTTGACATCGTCCTCCGCGGCATCAATCGCCACCTTTGCAACACTTCCAATTGTCGAGTCGAATGTGAAAATCGCTCCAACGTGCACGACAGTGGGCCTCGAAGAGGCGTTCCGAGTCGCTCCACTGGTGCTTGAGATAAGGCAAAAGAAGAGCAGAAGCAGAGCCAGCATCATGGTGATGCAATGACTCAATGCTTCTCAGAGCTGGAACACACCACAACTTCTCTGAGAAAGCAATAATAACCAAGAACAACTCAACATTCAAGAATCTACTGCCAGACAAATACCCCACTAGACGGCCTGCGTACTACTACATCAAATCCATCGAAAGGAGCAGCACAGGGAGTCGAAGATAGATAAATCCCAAAGAATACATAAGTCAGGAAGTTACAGGAAAACAAATCCAATCATCTCCAAGAAGATTGCTTCAACAGAACATATTATGCTGTAATACAACCTAGTCAAGTTTCTACAAGATAATGGGGCAAAGAACAATCTTGACACTGGTGAGACAGATAAACCCATCATATTTGTGAGATACAAAACAAAGAGAAAATTTTCAATGGGCAAAGAAATATCCATCATAAAAATTCAAATTAACACCAGCATGATAAAATCTCATGAATAGGGTTTCTAAGCTCAATCAGGAAACCGAAACCACTTCACAGAAACATCATTCGTGGATGGAAGACATCCTCACATAACTGAGAGAGACTATCCTAACACTACAATAAACCTAAGGCAGGCGAAGAAAAGGTAGAACAGAAGTAAAAGAGCATTGCTCACTGGTTATGCTGTGAATTGGAAAAGCTCTAGGCTCCAAATAGCTTCCTTTCGGCTCGGCACTCCTGCATCACTGAATGCCCGATCTATAAGGAGGAAAAATGTGCCATGCTCCATGAATTGGAAGTGGAGAGGAGCACCTCTGCGGCACGCGGAATTGGGGCACTTTGAGGTTCCATGGAAGACAGACCAGCATATGCTGAGCCCACTCTTAGGTTGCACACTTGGCAGGTTGCTGTTGGATGCAGTAACTGATGAGGAGCTGCGGACACGGTCTTACCGAGATAACAGATTGGAAGAAGAAAGTTCCTTCAAAGAAGAAGGATCAGAAGAAGAAAGGAATCAGATCCTGAAGGAGCAGCATTTCTTTTGGGATGCCACCTTTAGCTCTCCGCCTGCTGGTATCAGTACTCCCAAAGAGGTTCTCCTTCTGTGTCGGACTTCGCGGTCATGTGACCTTGACCTCTTTCCACCTTCTCCCTTCCTCCAGGCGTCCTTCTCACTTCTTTACACACAAGCTCTTGCAACCCAGCAGTCAATTACCATGATCGAATGGTCCTTCTTGAAATGTGCTGCTTGAGCAAAATGGCTGGAGTTTTTTGGCGGATGCCGACGATTCTACTCCTAGCTCAGTAGCACGACATCAGAAAGCACAAAAGAATGGCATATGTCCCTGTCATCATAAATTGTCCAAGATTGTGTCAGCAGTGAGAAGACAATAATGCCCACTGGCGACAAACAATCCAGAGAACAAAAAGTAAAAGGTGCCTACCCATGTCCATCCAGGTAGAACCTTACTCGACACTCCTTTCACTGCATCGTCCTCGCCTTGGATTGGCGCTACAGCATCAATTCGAAGACGACGAAGACCGACTTGCCCATGTTTAAAATATGAGATAAAAGGATAAGAATCACGTGCAAAGCACCTGCATAATGCAAACAAAAGTAGAGCCATGTCTCTCGAAAGGCACTGCCACCTCTGATGCATTTAGATGGGCATCTGATGCTGTCTCCACCACAGATTCCTGGTTCTCTGTACTTTCTGCTGAGATAATAAAGAAAGGACTTTGTTATTTTAATTTGGCTTTTACTTTCTATTCTTTTCAATAATTCTAATATTATGTCTTCTATATATTTAAGTTGATAATAAATAAATAAATAAGAAACTTTCTGACCTTGTAAAATTGGCATTCTATAAAATACAAATTAAGAAATAAAAACCAGAATAACTATGTCAGATTTCTTTCCCTGTGAGCCTCTATGTGAGACTTGTCTCTTTCTGCACTCAAACTCTGGACACACAAAAGGTGTGAATAGAGTTGGCTGGGGTTGCCTTTTGATGACCAGATTAATGAGATGATGTCCAAATACATGAAGCAATCAGTACATCATCAAGACTCCTGGGGGTTGCCTTTTGATGACCAGATTAATGAGATGATGTCCAATTTGAGACAACTGGTTCATATCTGAGCTCAGAGAAGTCTACCATCTGTAGGCCACAGTTTCATCAGCTGGCTTTGTTGTGCTTTTTTTTTTTCTTTTTTTTTCTTTTATAGTTTTCAAAATCGAATCAATCTGACAAACAACAATCAGAGAATTCATTATTCCAGTTCATCTATTAGGTAAAAAAAATAAATAATTAAATAAAAATAAGACTATTTTTTTAGTTAACCCAAATCCAGGTTCCAAATCTTTTTTACATCCCTTCCTATAAATTCTAAGGAACATTTTACTCATTCATTCTATCTGAATATATTAAAAAAAAATCTAAGCAGCATCCAAATTATTTTTACTCTGTCTCCTCCTCCTCACTGAGACTCAAGATATATTTATAAAATAATCAAATATTAAATAATTTGGGTCTCCATCTATATTTGAACCTATTGTTCTTTTTCTTACAACTTTGACTTTGTGTGTGTGTATATATATATATATAGAAGAGAGAGAGAGAGAGAGAGAGAGAGAAACTTTGACCTATGCTAAATTATGTTGAAACACACTATTCAATAGATTATGTTGAGAGCAAAGGAAAAAGTCTAAGAATTAGGTTATGTGAATCTGAACAAGAAGGAAGCCTTGACAGGTAAACATCCTCAAATGAAACCATGCATGAACTCATTGGATGTGTTTTGTGGTCATTTTGTTGATCATAATGGCAAAACTATGGCAGACAAATGCTACTTGACTATTATGTATCTAGCAACCAGGCACATGGATGCTGCCTTTTCTTATAGGATAAAAAATGATACTTAGCTTAAGGATATATATTACCATAGAAAAATGAATTGCCAAGATATAATGTAACATTTTAGGACATTTAATTCACAGGATATGATCCAAATTGATTCATGAGAACTACACCCAGTAATGTGACAATAAACTGCAGTTTGATCTGATCAAATTGGACTGAGATGGAAATTTGAACCCAAACTAGATTCAGTGTCATGATTATGGGAAATAAGATTCAGCCATCTCTTACAATCAAAGCCCAACATACTCAGAAAGTTGCCAACTTGATTCTAATATGCTGTTACAAACTTAGAGAGAGAGAGAGAGAGAGAGAGGGATTGTCTTAGTACACCTTAGTTCAAACAAACTAAAGGTGTTACTGTAAGTACTTATCTTGGCCTCAATTCATCATGATCTTAAAGGTTGTGGAGTATCATGTAGACAAAAAGTGATTCAAAATCATAATTAACTTGCTCTTTGTTCCTTTTTAGATTCCAAAACACTTGGATAGGTCTAGCAATGTAATTTGATATTCAACTAACATCTTATGATGGTCTCTTTATCTTATTATCACTTCAAAATGCTTTAGATTTAGTGATGATAACAATTCCACTTAACATGACAATGAGAGCCACTTAGAACAATACATGTCAAATAAAGCTAAAGGAGAGCATAATAGTTGACTTCTTTTTATAATAGGCATTCAAGTCCTACTTTAAATTTAAAACTTTACTTATTTTTGTTGCTATTTTCAAGTGTAAAATTTGAAAAACTAGTAGGATTCTTTTAAAATTAGATTAGCATTCAAAATTCATACTAAGAGTATATTATAAATTAAGCTGATTATTTCCTAAAATTAGGAGACTTTATATGGATGTGAGGTTAACTTTTATTTCCTTCAAAAAAAGCTTATGTTTACTTCATTTTAATAAGAAATAATCTATCATTTAAAATAGAAAATAATGTATTCTTTTTTATATAGATAAATATCTTATAAAACCATGTATCGAACTTATTTAAGTTAAAAATATCAATAATACTCTCCAAAATTGTTAGTAATATTTTGTTGGTCCTTTTTCCATTTCTCTTTCTATTCTTCTATCTTTATCTTTTCTCATTCTTCTCTCTGTTGGATGATATTTTTGTTGATCAAAGAAATAAAGGGCTCCAAGAGAAGTATGAAACACAGTCAAATTCATCAGAAATATCACTAAAACATTAAAATAACAAAAAAATACATTTTAATGCAACAATAACAAAAACAAGAAGTATTTTTTATCTATCAGTGCTTAAATATCAGAGTGTTTAATTTTTTTTATTTATAATTTTTACTAAAATAATTTTACATCTCCATTTTATCTCTTACATCATTAATGTTAATTGTCTCACCTCATCTAACTATGATATCTATTGGATTTTTTAAAACATATTTATACTATCTTAGAAGATTCTTACAGTTTTCATTCTTTATTTGCAATATATATATATATATATATCTCTATATAATTAGTTGCTTAATCCTTTAATATATAGTTCCCATTATTATTTAGGAAGCAATAATTTGGCGGTTTATTGGCACTCTTCACAATATGGTGATCATTAAATCATTAATGATATTTATTTTCAGAAATTATTTATCTGACGTTTCTGTGGATATTATTATTTATCTCTCAGCAACATCGAATCAGATGACGACAGGTGTCCCGGGCGCGTTCACGTTTCACGTCCACGTGCGCCAAAATACTAAATCTCGACCGTCCATCCATCGATGGCGTCATCAAGCGGTCAGACATCATCAACACACCCACCGCGTGGAACACAAGTCGGAATCCAGTCCCCACCAGCGGCGCCGTCGTCGTCGCGCCCCTTCCGTACCGAAACGTGTCCACTCCGACAGCCGCGAGACGTCACCGGGGTAACCCGAGATCGCCGGTCACCTATTAAACATGGGAACAAGTAAATCCCGCATCCTCCGCCGCTCTCTCCTTCCCCTCCTTTCCCTTCTGATCAAAGCCCGACCACCCATTAGCTCCAAACCTTCGCACTTGGTTCGGGAGAGTTCTTCCGGTCTTCGCCCTTTTAGATCAGTGTACCTTGTCGCGGCAGTAAAAAGTTGGAATCTTTGGTGGGTTTCTTTGCATCTTGTTCATGATTGTTGTGGAATTGTCGGTACGAGATGCAGTGATTTGGAAGCTTTTGGTGCTTTCTTCTTCCTTTTTTTATGGCAGATCAAGGAAAGTTGGGATCTTGGAGATAAATCCATTGCCTTGACTTGTAGAGACTGGCTGGTGGGGTTATAGGCTGCTTCTCAGTTGTCTCAAGGCTCCATATTGGTAGCTAATCCTCCTCCTGTTGAGTGAGAAGGGCGTGAGGTTTCTGCAGCTTCGAGTCTCTCGAGTGGCTGAGGTTGATGAAGATGGTATCAGGGGCCGACTTGACGCCTTCTTTGAGCATAATGAATGGCGGATCCACGCCTGACGCCGAGGACCCCGAAGCGCCGGAGGGATCGAGGTCGACGAGAGCCGTGAGGCCGCCCCGATCGGTGATTCGTCATTGCGCGAGCGCTGCGCGGCTGGACATCGCGGCTGAATCGGTGTGCTCTGTTCTGCTAATTACGTCCTTCAACTGTTTTATTTAATTTCTCATTGCATGAATCCTGGATTGTGGAATTTATTGGTGTGATCACTATGTAGGAGTTTAATGTTGGTGGTTTGGGCTTGACGTCTTCCTGTTCGGAGTTCTCGCCGGTGCTCCGGTCTGGAAGCTGGACTGAGATCGGTCTGAAGCAGTGCATGGAGGATGAGCACATCTGTATCGACGACTTGGTAGACCATATCGGAGAAAATGCCAATATCTCATTACCGGGAGCTTTCTATGGGGTACATCTACTATATGTTGTTATTGGTTGCAATTCAATTTCATTCTTCACTGATCATGTTCTTTAGCTAAGCTACACATACTTAAAAGTCTTGATCATTGTAGAGTCCGGATTGAGGATTTGCCTCACTTTAAGTTTCCTTTCTTTTATCAAGACTTTTTATTTATGAGATTATGATTAAGTGTTGTCCATCAAAAAATAGAATAGTGTTTCTTCATTTTTATGAATCATATTTATAGTTCTATTTATTATGATCTTGAATTCTATCCTTGTTTTCTATGGTTCTCTTAATATCTCGCTGCTTAATCTGACTTTTGTGTAGCTGATGTAACTCAATAGAATCAGTCAAACTGTCATGCATCACAGTTCGTGCATGTAATCTAGATACCAAGACAACGCATTAGGAGTGATATCACACTTTGCATCATATCATTCAAGCAATTGATTTAGAAACAATTGTTTGTCGTGAACAGGTTTTCGATGGCCATGGTGGCACAGATGCAGCAATTTTTGTCAGATCAAACATCCTGAAGTTCATAATTGAAGATGGCTACTTTCCCAGCTGCATGGAGGAAGCCATTAAGAGTGCATTCTTGAGAGCTGATTACGCCTTTGCTGACGCTTGTGCTCTTGACATCACCTCAGGCACCACAGTGCTCACGGCCCTTATTTTTGGAAGGTTAGGCTTTTAATTTCAACCGCCAACTGCTCATTTAGCATTTATGGCTTTTGAAGTTTAACAAGTTAGGATAAGATGACTTCTCTGCAAATCTTTACCATTCAATGAAACAGCATGGTCTGTCTTAAGTTATACGTGACTTCCCAACTACTTCAAAGGGTTTCTTGAGCTGCCCCACTTAAGATGCTGGTTGGATTTTTGGTGAGGCCAAATTAGCTGTCATGATAGTTGACCAATGATTTCTTTCTAAATGGTTAATAAATTATTTGAATCTGCCAATTCTTTTTGTTAAATGTGGGTGAGAAACTTGGATAGAGAAAGATATATCACTATGATTACAAGAAAGCAGCCTCAGTCATATTTTTGTTGAATAATTCCAGCATTATTATGAAGCAAAACCAATAACTTTTGTGCGCGAGTGTCAAATGATAAGTCCTACTTTTACCTGTTGATCATATGCAGCTATTATCATGTTTAGCATACTCTCTAGCTAAGTTGTAAGTTCTTGCTGATTTTATGAAGCATGACAAGTCTCATGCTGGTTAAGATTGTCCATTGACACAGGTAAACTGCACTTCAAGTTTAGTTAGGTCATGGATTCCTTCGATAAAGCAACACATATTGTGATACTTACCAATATATATTTTTGTTGTTTTCCTTTCCTTGAGATCAAATTTTCATTTAAAATACAGGACCATGTACGTTGCTAATGCTGGTGACTGCCGAGCGGTGCTAGGTAGGCGTGGCCGAGCGGTGGAACTGTCCAGAGACCACAAACCCAACTGCAGTATCGAAAAGCTCAGAATCGAGAATTTGGGAGGTGTTGTCTATGACGGGTATCTAAATGGTCAAATATCAGTAGCAAGGGCTCTTGGTGATTGGCACATGAAGGGCCCTAAAGGATGTGCATGCCCCTTGAGTGCAGAGCCAGAGCTGAAGGAGACAGAGCTCACAGAGGAAGATGAGTTCCTAATTATGGGTTGTGATGGTCTATGGGATGTGATGAGCAGCCAGTGCGCTGTCACGACAGCCAGGAAGGAGCTCATGGCTCATAACGACCCCGAAAGATGCTCACAGGAGCTAGTCCGAGAGGCACTCAAGCGAAACTCCTGTGATAATCTTACAGTTATTGTTGTTTGCTTCTCACCTGATCCACCCCCACAAATTTCAATCCAGAAGACTACAGTTCGGAGAACCATATCAGTCGAGGGACTGAACTTTCTCAAAGGAGTACTGGACAATAATGTCTGACAGAGAATAAGAAGCAAAATTGTTCCTTTCCACTTCTCTTTTCCTTCTGAATGTCTCCATCCTGTACATAATTGGGGCCTCATGTATTTTGTGGCATTAGGCCTGTTTCCAGAAATAATACATCATAATGTTCATCTTTTCCCTTCCAATTTTCTATTTAAATACATGCACAAAGTATAGTGCTGCTCCTATTCACTCTGAACTTTGTGATGGCATGTCTTGGTGATGTTCAAGACTCACTCAGCACTCCTGAAAGCCAAAGGGTGCTTTTGTTCTTGACCTACTTGTCATCTAGTTTCTGTGTTTTATGTGGTCCTATTGTTGGATGACTTTTGTCAAGCTCAGTGTGGGGTACAAAAAGCACTGCACTTAATGAGAATTTCAGCATCTATTGTAGGGTGAGGAAACAAAGGAGGCATCATTGTTTGGTTGTCAGGCTTCTGCCACTGAACACTTTAAAAACTCATGGAATGCATGAAGCAGTGTCCACCATTTCTTTCAATCAAGCACATGATGTTCCTTTTTCCAGCTATAATTTGTTGGCTTGCATGAAAGAGATTATGAAGGTACCAACTTAGAAAGACTTGACTATTGTTAGAGCCAAAAATAACACTAAATCCATCATGAAATGCACCTATGGAACTAAAGGAAAGCTTAGAACTCAAAACACAGCTGTTCTCTTGCCTTCTGACTATGCTCTCAGAAAATATGCAACTTAAGTTTCAATATGCAGTCAGAAGTTCTTCAAAAATCATTGTGCCAGTGCAATTGTGGGATAAGACCCACCTTTCTGATGGAAATAAAGTAATCATTGTGAGGCAAACAGTTGGCTGATGCAAGACCCATTATTGTGTGAGCATCAAACAACTGTATACATTTGGAAGCATCATTCTATTTATGGATCATTACTTTGGATCTCAACATTTTGGTATGTTACTAGGTCATCATCTATTGAGATAGTGCAAGACAAGTGACAAATACTAGAGTCTCAACCACTCCACCAACATGACTGCATTTGCCAAATTCCCAAATAAAACAGGCTTGATCAATCTGATCTGAGACAGTGGTATTTAGGTTGATCAAGTCACCCATAAAATAAATAGTATCGTCTCTGACAGGCCGGGATACTAATACATTCTTCGAAAAATATGAACAGAGAGCATAAGATGCCAAAATTTCATATTTAAAACATGTTGAGTGATCAATTGTCTCATCATGCAGGAAATGTGTATTTTTCCTCACAAATATTGTACTATGAAGTATCCCAAAAGGAAGGTTTTAATTTAATTGATAGGTATAACAGTGTGGTGTGGATCATAGAAAAGCAAGATCAGTAAGCAACTTTACCATTTGTCAAGATATAAACAAAGAATGAAAAAAGTGGATCATAGAAGAGCAAAATGATGTTTGCTTAGGGCTGTAAGCAACTTAACCAATTGTCATGATGTAAACAAAGAATGAGCAAAGTGGATGAAGTGTCCAAACCCAACAATCATAATTGAGAGTATTAGCCAAATGAATATTTAAAATCTCACCAACTAAGTGAAGAAAAGTGGCAATAGGTACTGAATTTTCTAAGTGACCTCATGAACTCAGCAATCCATTGATATTAACATAATTTATTCTATGTTAATAAAGGTGGACCAGCTGTTAAGAGGTATGCTAGCAAGTCAAGATTCCTCTCACACCTTAGGGCTTTGATAATTATCAATCAACACTGGAAGACCACTATGAACATAATTGATCATATGGTGAACTCCTTTTCAGGCCCAAGAGGAGTAGGTATATGTTTCCAGCTTTCATGGGCACAAGTATCATATTTAGTATAAGAACATGGAGGATCCATTTAGGATGGCAAGAACTTCTTTGGCCCCAGTAGTCTTTGATTCATAAACCCCCCCTAGCTCTCTCACTCTCTCAGAATAGAATACCAACCTATAGCTTGAGATTGCCTTCAAAATATTTTAACATCTTTTCTCAGATCATTAAGGGTTGATCAATCTAATTTGGAGCCTAATATCTGTTCAATCAACCCTGACTGAGGCATCACCTCCCAAGTGTGGGCAGCCAGGCAGGTAGTTGAGGTGTAGGGTGAGGCACATTTCATCATAGGGATGAAATTTGTAGTTCCTTGGAACCTTTGAATCATTATTTTAGTTCTTTTTGTTGATGGAAACAAGTAGTGGTGGACAAATGCAATAGAAACTGATGTCTAAAAAGGATTTTCAATTATGATTCTTCCTTTAGATGCTGCTTTCTTTCCATTCCTTAGCTCCTTTATGAGCCATTTGCTTAGGAGAAAATGTTATAGAAGTGAAGTGAAGGATATCTTTGTCAAAGAAAACAAGTGGGATTGGAGCCATAGTGTTGCACCAAATGGTTGCCACATTTATAGCTAAGCCTACATTTGCATCCCAATCATTCACTTGAAGATTATATCATTGCAATCATTCCAAAGAAGAAGAAAAAGAACCCCATAAGACAACACCAAACATGGGTTACATCAATGTCATATGAACAAGTATCTAAGATGAAGTATTGCATACAGTTACAAAATTAATGTTCATTCTCTCAATAGATATTGCTTTAACATTTATAGGACAATTCTCATTTTTGTTCCTAGAACTATATTTTTTTTTTAAATGCCTTTTTGTCACTAGAAAAATGCTATTTTATTGTGTTATACCTTAAAAATTTGTTAGAGCAGTTGATGCAAATAATGTTGTCTTATGGATTCTCTATCCTCTTCATTTTAACCAAATTTATTGTTTATAACTCTTGAATTCATTTATATATATAAAAAAGGGGATATATGGAAAATTTACCCCCCCATCATTTTTATTTCTATATAAGTATTTATCCTATGTAAATCATGTCCTTATAACAAGTTTCATTTTCCTCATGTCCAAATTGCCCCATCCTTCTATGAACTAACTTCCAATACTTTTTCTCTCTTGTAATAACTTTAATTTAAATTCTTTTTCTCTCTTGTTTTCTTTTACATAATTGAATCAATTTAAATTGGTGAAGGTCAACAGTCTCACCAGTCACACCTGCATTTGCAAACTTGAGCTCCATTAACAGCTGCACATGGACAACATAATGAAGAACTTTATTCTGCTGCAGCCCCAACCTCAAACAAGTCATGCTGATACCATTAATCTCTACAGCAACTTGGCCTCTGTGGATGTGTAGGTGTGGAGTTACTGCTTCAGCCAACCATGTTCTCACCACTTCCATGGTCCCTCCAAACTTGCTGTGTATTAGTTTGCTTTAACCACTAATATATTTACTTTATCCTCAAGCTTGGGAATCAGCTAAAGTCGACTTTGATGCCAATCTTTTGAGAAACATGACTGGCCTTCATCATGATAAATCCTTCTGGTCAACAGCACCATGATCATCTTGTGTTCAGAAAGCTAAAGGCTCTTCCTGCTGTGGATTAATTTACTTTAACCACTAATATAATACAGTGGAAGAAGTTATCCTCAAGCTTGGGTATCAGCAAAAGTTGACTTTGATGCTAATCTTTTGAGAAACATGACTGGTCTTCATCATCATAAATCCTTCTGGTCAACAGCACCATGATCATCTTGTGTTCAGAAAGCTATAGACTCTTCTTACCTTGAGAGAAAGAAACTGCAATATTTTATATATCTGAAGGAAAACACATTGTCAATTATCCACCATGTTTAATGTACAGAAACTAACTATTTCCAAAATTATTATATATATATGAAAATAATTAAAAGATAAATAAAGTATACAAAACTGTCACTCGAATGAGATGCGAGATTCGGAGAAGATCAATATATATAGTCATATTTTTGAAATTTAAGAACAAGTATGAAATCTTTTCGATATGTTTAAAATTAATATTATGATCCTTAAGATCAAAATAAATCGTCTCACTTATCGTCTCTCCATAGGCAAGGAGAGCATATTATGTCTTGATTAATCTCATATTTAATATGATCTATAATAATAATAATAATTATTATTATTATTATGTAAAATTTTATTTTAAACTAAAAGAAAAAAATAAATGTTCCTCTTAATAAGAACAATGATAGCAAGCACATGCTAATCTAAAAAAATTTATATGTTTTTTTTTTCTTTTTTGAACAAATAGGAAAGTGAGAACAAGATTTGGAATCATAACAATTAAAATTAAAATTTGATATCCACTGAATCAGTGGATGTTGCAGTGAGTACATAATTGTGGTAATGTTTCATGCCATACAAAGAATAGCATGCACAAGAAAGCAGAAAGAAAAAGAAGGGGGGACGCCGGTAGAGGTGTGGGTCAGTCGGCATTTGTGACACTGCATGTGCTCCATTGAATTCTCAGTACAACCCACAGCCAATCGAATCCAATATTTTTGTGGGTCCCGCAGTGGTCCCTTTCCGGGTACGAAACGTGACGTCGCGTTGTGTTTTCTTTTACCTATAAAGTAGAAGTAAGCCCCCAAAATTGACCCGCTGCATATCCGTCGCCTCCTCCTCTGCTGTTTACGGGAAAAGCCTTTCCGAGATTGGATCGCCACAGAGATCTCTCTGCGTCCTCGCCTCGGATAGAATAGAACGGTCTCGGACCTCGTCATTTAGGGTTTGCGCCTCTCATTCAGTCCCTGTTTTGTGTTCTTGGTTTGGTTTCCCTGTTCCTGCCTTTGGTTCCGTCAAAAAAGGAGCTTCTTTTCCTGTTTCTGTTTGTGTTGGAATCTAAAGATCGTAACTTGATGGTGTTTCTACCTGGGAAGGGCGAATTTTGATGGCTTTTTCTTGAGTTTTGGTTTTTTTGTGGTGATATCGTTGCTTCCAAGAAGTCAATTAGAGAGGAAATTCGGGTACTTTATGTAGAAGAGAGAGGGTTTGAGCGTTTTCTTGGATGGCTACCATCAGCACTTTGAATAGATCCAACAGCAACAGCAGGACTTCCCTTATCTGCAATGACTCCAGAAAAGCTACCAACGAAGGTGGCGAGACATCTCATCGCAAGGATGTGGAGGGGTTGAGCATTTCGAAGAGTCTAATGCGGGGCGTGAGCGACAAGTTTAAGAAGACAAGGAATGTTCTTGGAGCTCATAGTGGTGCTGAGAGCTCGAGGACTAATTCCTATGCATGCATGGGGCTTTCTTTGAGGGGTGGTGGGTGCCGGGTGGGGACTTGCGAAGATCTCGATTCAAATATTAAGAGGCGGTTGAGCGCCATGGACGATTGCATGCCACAGAGAATGGCTAATGGAGTAGAAGAAAGTGGGGTGGTGTGTTTCTCTTATGGTGTTTCTGAGAAATTTTGGAGAAGAAATTCCAGAAAGGAAAAGGGTTCTGTGCGATGCCCATCGACTTCACCTTCTGTTACCCCAGCTTTGCTTCCTGATGATGTGTTGGAAATGATTTTTGCTCGGCTTCCATTATCATCGATCGCGATGGCTCGTTGTGTCTGCAAGAAGTGGAGGTACCTGACTGGCACACACCATTTCATACAGATGAGAACCGAAGGTTCTTTCGGTACTCCATGGCTGTTCCTGTTTGGCATCATGAGGGGTGGGTGTCATGCTGGTGACATTTATGCTTTGGATGTCTCTCGCGATTGCTGGCATCGGATTAGCAATGCTGTTCTAAAGGGCAGGTTCCTGTTTTCTGTTGCAAGTATTAAGAGTGATATCTACGTCGTCGGTGGTTGCTCTAGCTCATCTTTGTCAATGGAAAAGAGCTCCATCAAGACACACAAAGGGGTCCTGGTTTTTAACCCTTTAAGTGGTTCATGGCGCAAAGCTGCGCCTATGAGTTCGTCAAGGTCAGGACCTATTCTGGGTGTCTTTGAAGTCGGAGCCAGCTGCAGTTTATTTAAATCTAGAACTAAGTCTCACGATCGGCCTCTGTTAAAGTCTCGAATTGGTGGAGTGTCAGATGTATATGAGGATCCTCACCGTCTCTCTGTCAGGCTACGACTTAGAGATGCATTCAATGAGGAGGATAATTCATCAGAACATAAAAGAAGATCGTCCAACTTTGTTAGAGAAAAGACAGGCAAGCAGTTCAAGTTTGCATTGATTGCGGTGGGTGGTCGTGGGCCTTGGGATGAACCTCTTGAGTCTGGGGAGATCTACAATCCTGTGACTGATAAATGGACTGAGATTGCAAGTTTGCCAGGGGAATTTGGAGTGGTTTGCTCAGGTGCCGTATGTGGCCAAATGTTTTATGTCTACTCAGAGACAGATAAGCTTGCCGGCTATGATCTGACAAGAGGCTTCTGGATGACAATACAGGTCGCCCGACCACCTCCCCGTCTTCGCGAGTACTACCCGAAGCTCATTGCTTGTAGCAGCCGGTTGTTCTTGTCATGTGTGTCATGGTGTGAAAGAGATGGCCAAGTGAACAGGAGGGAGAAAGCTGTAAGGAAGCTTTGGGAGCTGGATTTCACTTTGCTGACATGGAATGAGGTCTCACGGCACCCAGATGCTCCCATGGATCGGAACGCCCTGTTTGTTGCAGATGAGAGCATGATTTACAGTGTCGAAATGTTTAGAATATTTGGACAGGTACTGGATTTCCTAACTGCTTGTCACCTTTCTGAAACTGGACTGGAGTGGAGTCGTATCACCAAGAAGCATGCCACACATGAAGTAGATGCTTCCTCATGTTTAGTAAAATCGATGCTAGTGTTGCACCTGTGAATTTCTGTCTTACTCAATCCTTTTAGTTCTTTGGTTTGTTTACAAGCAAGGTACCAGCGTGCATGTACTTTGCCCATGAAAACTAACTCGGAAGTGAAAACGGAGTATTGATGAAGCAATATACATCAGTCAACTATTCACCGTCATCTGTATGTTTAGGTTGCCTTGAAGAAAAGAAGGTATAACTTCTCTCAGTAGTCATCTGTTTTTTAATTCCTTCCACACATGTTCATTGTTTATTGAATTGCTGGGGCAAAATTTGTTTGAGATTGTAACAATTTCTTCATTGGGTTGTGAAAGTTGTATTTGGATTTGTGGATTTCTTCAAATTCAATCAAGTTGTTGAAGTATACTAGTTCAATCATTTTCTTTTGTGTTTGGCAACAGTGATGCATCACTCTGGTTGGTTTCAGTTCTACAGAAAGGAACATATATCCAGAACTGATCTTTTGGAATTTGCCATTATCTTTACCATATATGTACTAAGAATTTATGTTCTAAAAGAGCTTATTACAATCTTAGAATGCATGACAAAGCCGATAACTTGATGTCTGTATTAGTTGTCTCTCCGATTTATTGGAATTAGATGTTTGTGATCCTGTTTTGTGATGTATTGTAGATAGAGTTGATGCATAGTGCTAAGATGGCAAGCTTCACAAGCTGATATGTTTCCAGTGTCATCATGCATAATATAATTAGCTTTATAATGGCTACTTACTATATGGGGTGACTTTGCAGGAGATCTTTCAACAAGCTCATGATTGATTTGTTTCATCTTATATTTGGTCACAAGTAATGCTTGGATTACACAAATTGTGTGCAGGGAATCATGGATGTGTTGGCATTGATATAAGAATGACATGGTGTCCATATAGTCTACAAGGAGTTTTGATGTTTCACCTCTCATATGGATGACCTATGCATAAATCTCATCTGTTCCTTATTTTCTGATGAGAAGTGCAACAATTGACCCTAAATCTCTTAATTTTGCACATGAGACTCTCAATTGCTGTCATGATATGAGAATTCATCAAATTCTGTCAAACAACACATTTTAATAATTTATCATATTAAACACAATAGAGTATTTTCATGAATTTATATTTTCTTTGTAAAATAAAATATGAATCAGTTTATAAAATAAATATTGACATTATATCTATATATATAGAGACTAAAAATAAAAACTTATATTGTATTTTATGTCGCTAAATTGTGGTTTCTGGCATCAATTACAACCCAATCCAAGTTAAGCTTGAGACGTATCACTTATCATTAAGTAATCTGGAATATATTATTTTTTTCCTTTGAACTATCTTTTAACCTATATATTTTAAATATCAATTCCTTTTTCTTTTAACTATCTTTTAACCTACATGTTCTGATAAGTATTAATTTATTTCAAAAGATTAAAGAACTAATAGAAATGGGAGTGTGGACCAATTAAATCCATTCCATGCATCTGCCTCACTTGGCATTACCCTCTCAAACATATCATTTGGCTTGTAATGGAATTCAAGACCTGGAGAGCATCTTTCTCCATGGTGGCAGAAGACATGGCTGAGCTATATTATCTGCACTGTTCTTCATATATATACATATATTTAAGGATCATCTACACTTATCAAAAGCATGTGCTTATAATTTCCATGTCAATAAGGACAAATTCAGATTCCCTTCTCCTCTGATTCATTTTTTGATCTATAATTTGTCCCTCCCAAAATGGTCGGTGGAAAAAGTAATGCAAAACCTATATATATATATATATATATATATATATATATATATATATATATATATATATATATATATA